GAACAGTGTTAAATATATTGATGGCACATGTATTTAATAATTAAGGTACAATTAGTTTTATATTCACACATTCAGTCTTTCTTTACAGTTTTTCTCAGTGGCTTTGGTGCATTTCTCACAACACTTACATTTGCACAACCGGTAATGCGTTTCATAAAACAATTAGTACAAATTGCAAAACCTAAAAAACCTAATTGCAAAAGCGTGTCACTTGCTTAAAATGGATAGTTCATTCCTCAAAAGCAAATATTGATGTCAATGAAAGTATCAGTGTCATCAAGATGAAAAGTCCTGACACCATTTTTATGAACAAAATAGTTAAATGGCTTTTTCATGTTTTCATTATGACAGTTTACTCTGTAAATGTTTTCTAATGCTAAAAAGTCAGATTTTGGTGACACTTCCTGAAAATGCTCAAGACAGCACTATACTATTTGCACAGCCATTTGAAAACTACAGTAAAGTTAGACATCACTGCATTTACTGAGGTATCTGAGTACAAGACACTGAACATGTATGTTTCACATTTTTACTGCATTTGCTCTTTGCAGTTCTAATTTATTCACAGCCTTGTGAATAAGAATAAATACACCCTTATTTACAACAAACATAAACTTCCTTTGGGTAGAGCTGCGTACAACAATACTGCAGTACATATTGGAACTGAACCCACAACATACAAAGGTCTGTAAATCATTCATCAAATTGTTCAATTTAGAACACATTTTCAGGGAAAAAAAGATTTAAAAAGTTTTATAAAATTAATTTGACAAATTTTGACTACTAGTTCAACATTTTTGTATGTAATGACTCAAGTAATGAAATGAGGACTATTAGTTTAAATGGAGTTAATTTTGACTGACATGACATAAACAAATGATAATGTTATAAATCAGCAGAGGGTTGTATGAAAGCATTTGATCCATGTCCAAAAGCATTTTGCAATTGTTGAAAGAAATGAGAAACTGCTACTATGATGTGACCAAATGTGAATTCAAAGTACCATGCTAAACAATAGTGAATAGTTATCTATCTATCTGTCTGTCCGTCCGTCCGTCCGTCCGTCCGACCGCCTGCCCGTCCGCCGGCCCGCCCGCCCGCCCGTCCGTCCATTCATTCATTGCTGTTTGAAGAATATTAGTATTTGGTCTGCACAATTTTGGAAAAAAATTGTTATTGCAATATTTTATTTTTCTGCAATTAAATATTGCGATTATAAATACAGTTTCTCAAGATGGGAAGTCTACAGTTTCATTTTCTGGGGAGTCTAACAATATTTAAGTTCAGAAATTGACCAATCACAATGCAAAAAATGCTTTTCTTTGCTTTGTCTCGTTTCTCAGACTCAGACTCGGCTTTATTATCCCGTTAGGGAAACTAAAATTGCAACAAGGTACCACAACACAGGCGAAGGCGAAGTTCCATGTACACACCAAAAAACATTACTACACAACATCCATACATCAGTATATAGAAACATCCCCCTCCCCCTGGACTCATTTAATGACCTTATGGCCACCTTTATAAAAGAATTTCTGGTTCTATTTGTCCTGCAGATAGGAACCCTAAACGACGTCCTGATGGCAACAGCTGAAATACAGAGTACAGTGGGTTATCCGGGGTGCATAGGATACCCTGAGCTCTCCTTTTGGATTAGTTTCTAATCCAAATATCTAAAAATTCAAGAGTATTTTCTTAAAACACCCACAATTATCCTGCCAGTTATCTGTGCCAGTTTTCAGTTATTTACCCAAGTGAAATAATTAAGTTTTGCTTTGAAATGTAGATATTTGGACTAGAAACAAAACAAACATTTTCAAGAAAGAATTTGTTGTTGTTTTGCATAAATCATATAAATTCCATATACAGCAACTCGATACAAAGCAATAAGCTCTTGGTCAACTATGTAATCCAGAGTCAGTATTGCAATATCGATGCTGAAATGATATATTGTGCAGCCCTAGTTAGCAAACTGCAAGTCTGTTTAGTGTTAATTAACAGTTTGCTGTATTTGTCATATATGAGAGTTTTACACTTTGTATTGTTGGCACTTAATCTCTGGCCAGATGAATTTTGATGTTGAAAAGTTGAACAAAGTGACTTCTATTGACATTTTTTTGTAGTTTGTATATTGTCTGGGTGACTCATGTAAAGTATTGTACAAAATCAGGTAGTATATCAGTTCATTTTCTGTTAATTAACAGAGTTTTTATTTCGATACATTTAGATACATTTCTAACTGTTGAGTTAAATTTTCAGCATCAAAAGAGAAAATATCAAGCTTCTGTAACACTTCGAAAGCATAAAAAAACTGAAAACACCCCAGAATCTAAAGCTATTGTCAACTAAAGAATAACAATGCATTTTTACAGTGTAATACACTCTAAAATAATATAAATGTTATATAGTGACCAAATAAATTAAACAAATCAGACTATTTTTTTTTCTTCTTTAGCTTTACACATTGTTGAGGTGCATCCTAGGATGTCTTTTTTTCTTCTAGCTTCTTATAGCAATGTTGCCCTCCACAGTTTAATATCATCATCATATTTGAGTGTGTGTGTGTTATGGAGGAATCCCTGAAACTGTTTTGACTCTTTTATAATAAGGCTTAGCACATAGCATTGTTTTGGATGTTCAGTAAGTTTCATCACACTTTGTGTGAATGCTAAATAAGTGAAGCAGGACCAAATGTATCATTTATTGTTTTGTCCCAACTAAACCAAAAGAACTGAACCAAACAAACAATGTATGATCCTATACATCTGCTATTACTATTTAGTCCAACCTGTCAATTTTAAGAAATAAAACAAGAATAAAAATAGTAGTTTGGTCTGAAATATTAATATGTATTCACAGTTTATATTTGCAGACAAAGATAATTACAAGCACTTAAGCCAAAGCAAAGATATCAAGGTCATGAGAAACCAGAATTCAGTCATTCTTTCTGGTCGGATAGTTGAGCAGGTATATAGACAGTGTTAGGTAAAGGAAGAGGGCAGTTAAGGCTGAAGTGGGAGTGTTTGTATCCAGAGATAGGCCTGCTGTTTGAAAGCTCGGCTAAGATTAGCTACGAAAGGTCACACTGTCTGTCTCCTCTGTGCATCATGCAAGTTTAGCGTTAAATCACATTTTCTTTTCACATATTTAGCAAATTATTTCTTCATCATTAGGCTATATGATTTAATTAATGTGAACATTTTCCTATGTTGTGTTTTGAGTTTTAGATTACTTATGAAGAGTATATAAATGTATATTGAGTTTTAGATTACTTATAAAGAGTATGTATATATGTATATTTTGAAGTTTTTGATTGAATGTATTATTATCTTTTCCCCTTTTCCTTAGGTAATACGCACTACAGGCTTTATGAAAGGACTTTATGTGGAAGCAGAGATGAAGTCAGATAACGTGAAGGTAAAGCACAACTGTAAAACATCACTTTCAAAGCAATGATATTAATGCAGGAAAGCCCTTCTAATGTGACTAATGTGTTCTAATGTCAGATTCCTGTTAAATAAATTCAGTTTTTTTTAATGTTCTTGCAGCCTCCCAATTCACATAAACTAAAAATGCTGGGTTCTGCTAAATTTCGGTGTAGTACCAACACAAATCGATTAAGTTTATGTAATTTTTCTTACGAATTTAAGTGGTCATAAAACAATTAAGTTGTCCCAAAGAACTTCTATAATTGTGTTGTTTCAGCTCATTTTAAATAAGTTGTTTGAAAAAGCATTCCTAAATCATAGTATGTTGAAAAGAGCATGCCAGAGGTTCCTGGATGGACTATTATTTCCAGGAGATATTCAAACTGTAGAACCTTTTGTAGTGTAACTGCTAATATTGGCCACAATACATTGCACATTGGATGTGATTTAGATTAAAACTACAAACTCGGGTAAAAAGTGTGCAAAGTACAAACATGGCGGATGTGCAAGACCAATCGTCAAGTAAAGAGGCTTTGGTAATGTTGTCTCAATGACTATTAATTCATACTTAGCTAGCTAGAATTTTTTTTAATCACATCATAGTGTTATATTTAATCTGCGACTACAATGTGAACTTTTCTAAAGACATATTGATACGCAAATGGCAAATTAACATGCTGATTAGATTTCCAATAAGGTATAGGTTACTAATTATATTAAAAAATGTAGATGATTTGTTGAGTTCTGTTGACAATCTAAAAACATATTGCTTAAGTGGGCTAATAATGTTGACTTTAAAATGTTTCTTAAAAACCTGCTTTTATTCTAGTTTTATTCTATTACTCCAAAAGAAAAAATATTATATAGGGCTCGAAATTGCAATCGTTTTGGTCGCAAATGTGCCCAAAATTTTATCTATGCGACCTCAAAATATATTTAGGAGCATTTGTGCGAGTGCATAAAATTGTTGTCATGTGACCAGTTTTCACAACAAAATGTTCACCACATATGCGTATTTAGGAGGCATTCACGCATTATGCATCTTTGCATCTAAAAACACCAAACGCTGCACTCAGGAATGGTTTAAAACAGTTGACATGTCAACTTTCTGCAGTAAACAAAGCCCGCAATGCTTGCCCCGCCTTCAAACTCTTTTTTATTGGCCCACTACGCTAGAACAGAACGCGAATGGATTGGTTAATATCAGCTGTCAATCACTCAGTTCAGATGACATGCAGCTACATGTAAAGGTCTGGATCTGAGAGAATGAAAACAACAATGGCAGATTTAGTTTTAGAAACCACCTAAAGTTACAAATAATGGCAGATCTGATTAGTGATCATGTGCTGAATGTCAATCCAGCATTTACACTTTTTGAAGAGTGGATAAAAGACTTCCAGTGATTAAAGTCCGCTATGAAAATGAAAATTTTCAGGTAACAGTGTTTGCCACTGAATCTACACACTTTAAGCACGAGATGTTCTGACGTTATTTAATCCTTCATGAAACCGCGTTCACCATCGCTAAAGAGCATGCATTCACCGAGATGAAACTAATATTGCAGCTCATGAAAAGACTGTTATTGCTATTAAGATGACGTATGCAAATAACAAGTTATATGTCAATATCATCTGTGCAATATTAGACACCACCCGTGAGAACACAGCACAGTTATTGTTAATTCAGTTCATCTTGTTCACGTCAAGCAGTGCATGTAGGGCCAGTGTGCCCATGCAGAGTTTTGTTTGTTTGTTTGTTTGTTAGTTTTAATTAGAGTTTATTTCAATTGGTTTTAAAAAATATGTTAATATAAAACGTGTAGTAACTGTGGTCGTAATTGTTGGTGGGTGCGATTAAATTTTGTCTGGTGCGCCTAGATTTTTGAAGTTAGGAGCACTGTTGCCACCAAGAAAAAAGCCCTGTTTTAGGAAATACTGTGAAACATTCTTTGCTCTGTTGAACATCATTTGGGAAATATTTAAAGAAATTCACAGGAGGGCTAATAATTTTGACTTCAACTGTAAATGTGCAAGCCAGACCTGCTAATTGCTGTGCTGTGCTGCCTTTTATCATGTAGCAGTTTTATCTTCCTCGCCAATTAATCTGTCTACCTGGCAGTGGTACATGATGTTAGAATTGACCTCTAGTATCTACTTGATCTCCTATTTCATTAGGATTCTAAAGCCTCGATATCTCAGCCTTCAACTCTGCTGTGTTTTTTTCCTGTTCAGATGTTGATATTGGTCAGATAACAGACTGTAACACAAGATTCTCCATTTAATTAGCGTGCCAAAGTCCCACGTCGTAGTGAGCCAAGAGGTGCGGTAAATCTTTCCTTTTAAAAGCTTGGTGACTTTAACTAGCTTTACCTGGATCAGTATCACTGACCCTGTAATAGATGCAGGTGACTAGCTTACCAAAACACTCTGTGTTCATGTCTGATCCTCCTCCAGCTCTGGCAGTCTGAAAGAGCTGTGGCTTTTGATGTCCCAGCATGCATAATGAATGACCTCTCCACACCTGTGTGAGGCAGGACAGCCAGACGGTATAGCATGACATTATGATGTTGTGACAGGGGCAGGGTTTTAACACTTTTCAGAGAAAATTAGCCCTAATGTTGGAAAAAGAAGCTTCTATAAATTCTCCAACTTGTGGGATCAGATGGTTTTTATGACATACAACTTTTTGCTACTTGGGAAAGATCCTTGCACATGGTAGATCTAGTAATACCTAGTAAAACTCAGCCCTCCTCATAATAAAAGGATCATGCCCAACATATGTGGTTATTTTCTATTTATATCTTCTCTGAAATATGGTATGAATTGCAAAAATACAGACTTTCCTCTTTCTCCCATTTAGGTTTTTTACTATGAAGGTAAATCAGTTGCGAAACTCGAGAGCTCGCAAATGTAAATGTGAGCACTTGTGATAATAATATTTGTATGTGTAGGTTGAAATGTACACTTACAGCTCTGATGTGAACAGCTGAAATCCTCGATTTGCACACACACACAACAATCCACACACTTGTGTTTTAAATTCGAAGTTGCAGATTAATAGTTGTGTATTTGTAAAATGTCATTCACAAATACAAAGTGACAGACACACGTGTGCATGGCAAATTTGATTGCATCTTCGCTCTACAACCACAGGTCGGCACTCACAACCTCTCAGATTCGTCAGTACAACTACAAATCTCCCGCGCTCTGACTTTTGCAACATCAATACTGTTAGCTAAGCTAAGGACTGTGCTGGGTGCTTCTCTTGTTTGTTGGTTTATATAAGAAACAGTTATGAATTATCTAGGAGCTGCTTTCAATCATGTTATATGGTTCTAAAGATACGATTCAACCCACATGAAATAAGAAGTTGTAATAGTATTTATAGTAAATAATAGTACGTTTTTGAACCATACTAACTATAATAAACTGTATTATACAGTATATATTGCAGTTTCTACAACTTTGTTAATGAATGCAACAGCACACTGTAGTATTAACAAGCATCTGAGAGGTTGTGAGTGCCGACCTGTGGTTGTAGAGCGAAGATGCAGTCAAATTTGCCGTGCACACATGTGTCTGTCACTTTGTATTTGTGAATGACATTTTACAAATACACAACTATTAATCTGCAACTTCGAATTTAAAACACAAGTGTGTGGATTGTTGTGTGTGTGTGCAAATCGAGGATTTCAGCTGTTCACATCAGAGCTGTAAGTGTACATTTCAACCTACACATACAAATATTATTATCACAAGTGCTCACAATTACATTTGCAAGCTCTCAAGTATTGCTACTGATTTACTTTCATATTTTACCTTCTGCCCTCCATCTGAATTTTGCGCGTCACCAGAACCACGTGATTGCCACGATCTATGGATCAACGTTGTTTTTTCACATCATCTCATACTTTAGTTTCTCATCAAATCTTGACCAATCAATTGCACTGTAGTATCTGACATGCCCAGTCCCCTTCAAAACACTTTTCATTTGCTGTTCATTTGATGGGCTTGAGCTCAACCACTCTGACTTGCAGAGCTGTGACAAAACAAAACACTATTGGCTGCTTTTTTTAAAAGGGGAGAAGCTATTCTATGTCCTGCCCTTTCTTAGTTTTTCAGTTGAGATTACGTCAAACATCGAATTAAAAATGCACATTTGAAAGCCTTTCACAGGACCTTTAACTATATTTGATTGTGTTGGCTTTAAGGTATTCTATTCAGTTAATTTTTTCGAAGCAATTTTTAACACCATTGATCCAAATACAGTTTTATGGTTTTTAGCAAAAATTAAGTCATTTTTGCTAAAAAAAAAAAAAAAAACCTAAAACAGTATTTGTATCAAAACCTTAACATAATCTGTATCTCCCGTATACTTTTTCTCATCATGAAAATGGCCATAGTATTTGGCATGGCGTTAACAAACAAACACTTCTCAGGGGGAATATGCCTATAGATTGCGGACTTAAAGCTTTCTGTACATATTAACTGGGATAAAAGAAAGTAAACATCAGAAAATGTTTAGCCATTTTTAGGACCATTTAGGATTTTGTTTGCTTTGCATTGGGACATTTTCCGACAAATTGTTAAAAAAAAAAAAAGATATGCATATTACAGATGATAACAAATTATATTTTAAAAATATATTTTCTGACATCAAGCTGATTTAAACGTTAAAATAATTTTGTATTATATTCTGTTGGATTGTATTAATAAAAAATAAATTAATAATTTTCAGGGTAATCATTTGGATAATTAAATAATAATAGAGATCGTGTTTTATTGGAACAACGTAGATTCTTGATGTTCCAAAAATGGTCATAATTCAATGCAAAATATTTTAAACAAATATTTATAATAAGAATTGTTTTGTGATCTCAGATCAGCATATTAAAATGATTTCTGAATGATTATATAACACGGAAGAAAAATCTTTATTGTCATCCCAACATTAAGTACCATTTTAAAATATATTAACATCGAATGCACTTGTTTTAAATTGCAGTATTTTAAAAATAATTCAGTTTTTATTGTATTTTTAATCAAATAGTTGAATATACAATAATGAAAAACATTATTAAATTAATATTTTATTAAAACTTAAATGACATTATTTGTAAAACATTTTTTTAGTCAACTGAAAAATGTAAGTAGTAGCTAAAAATCTATTTGTCATAATGCATGAAGTTTTTAGATATTTTCAAAATAGCTTTCTGTTTATGCAAAATTTAAGTATGATTATTTTGGGTCTGAACGTAGACTTTATATTTCTGAAAGAATTTTCCTTTGCTCTTAAAGCTATTAAAAATATCTATCAAAAATAATAAAAACTGTCAATTTAAGAAATAAAATTTCTTAAATTTAAGTGGTGCATTGGGTAGCAATGTCGTCTCAAAGCAAGAAGATTGTTGGTTCGAGCCTCGGCTATGTCAGTTGGCATTTCTGTGTGGACAATAGGCAAATTGAATAAGCTAAATTGTCAGTAGTGTATGTATATGAATGGGAGTGTATGGGTGTTTCCCAGTGATGGGTTGCAGCTAGAAGGGCATTCACTTTGTAAAACATGTGCTAGATAAGCCGAGAAGAAAATGAGTAATGAATGAATGAATGAATATATCTATGTATACAGTATGTATACAAGTATGACCTATAAAAATAAAACCTTAATCAAATGCTTTTTTTTTTTTTTTTAAATGAATAACATACAAATGTATGCATAAATAACTAGGAATGCAGGAGACATTTTAGCTTATTTTTACACAGAGATTTACACAAACAAAACTTTTCATTAGATGTTGGACAGTGGGTACAATTAAAGTTTGAAAAAAAACCTGTTTTTTTTTACCATGAAATCTTTATAAAAAAAGTACTATTTTCTATGCTAAATATTTATTTATAATCCGAATTGTCTAGTAGTCAGTGTCACATCATCTTTAACAATCATGAAAATCACCGCTTTCTGATTGCATGGATATTATTGTGTGGGCTGTAGCTGGTTATTAAACACTGCTGAGTTTGTAAAACCATAACAGATCACATCAGCATACAGGTTGTTCTGCCTCTGGGACCTCATTAGGAACCTCATGAAGTATGAAAGCGTTAAATGGCAATATGGACAGTTGCACTTCATCATAACCAGCAAAGCAGAAATAGCGAAAAAGAGGGTTTAATGGAGTGGATGCATCATCAATCTGCTGGTTGTGATGTACGTGCTGTTGTCTCCAAAGCATCAGCATAATTTGACATTCTGTTAAATCAAGTAAGTCAACATCTATCAGAATAAAAAGCATTGAATTTATTTTCTTCACTCAATTATTAACATGTTTATGCAACATTTAATTAGGAATGTGATAGCGGAATGTTCTAAACACCCACGGGTGGTGCAGGTTTAATGAAGCGTTTACAGAACAAGACTGAAACCAGAGGTGATGCACGTGACGAGATTAAGTTACAAATGATCTTGATTGCTCAGTTATGTTACTATAAAGTAGTGTTCTTACGTTCCTGGAGTTCTTTACCTATCGATGCAGGAATTTTCCTGCAAACATTTGAGCACTGTTGAGCGCGTTCTTACACAGTGCTGATTTGCCAGTATGCTCAACAGAAATGACTGTGATTGGCCATGAAGGCCATCAGTTCAGTGAACTCATCGCTGTCTACTAAGGCCCCGTTTACACTAGTGCGTTTTAGAGTTAAAACAGCGTTTTAGAGTTAAAACAGCGTTTTAGAATGAAAACGATCTGCGTCCACACTGACGTTTCACCCATCGTTTCTGAACAACTCTCCGTCTACACCAGTGTTTCTCAACTGGGTCGCGGGAACATTTTCAGTGGGTTGCGGAGTGTGTGGTCAAAAAAAAAACAACAAAAGTAAAATTGTTTACTTATTTTGTTTATACCGGACTTTTATTTTGAAATGCGTGCGCGACAACCCTACCGTTTGACATGTGAAATTTCATTTTATTACTGCAACAAATATGTCCAAGCGCAAGTACGACCCTGAATATGTAAAGTATGGATATATACATTGATGACAAAAAAGACTTAAAGCCTCAGTGTCATATGTAGTGCGGTGCTCTCATAAGAGAGCATGAAACCTTCTATATTAAAACAACATTTAGAAACCAGAAAACATGTTTTATTAACAGTTTATTATTAACAGTATTTGTCGTTTTTACTTAGTAATATTTCTATAATTTGATCCATTTTGTTCAATGACAGCAATAAAATAGTGTCTTGGTGAATTTCTTATGATATATCGGTCACTACTTGTTTAAGTTAACAAATAAATACAAATTAAATATAATTTCTAAAATTTTATTATACTGTAGATCCTAAAAATTTGGGTCGCGGCTTGATGACCATGTAAAAATGTGGGTCCCATGGCCAAACCAGTTGAGAACCCCTGGTCTACACCACACCACTGAAAACGCACATCCCGTGACCACACACACACACACACACACACACACACACACTGGCATGCGCTGCATCTTATCTAGCCAGATGAGAGCTGTGCTCGTCGGACTGTTCATTAAGGATCTACTGCTGGATCTAATCTTGTTATATTTGTTAAACGTGATATTTAATTCATCCTGTTGTCTATATTTAACAGCATATTCCCTGACTTTGGTCTTTCGAGTCTATTACTTGTTCTTGGTAACATGTTTTGGCTGAGCGTCCTATGTAAATAGCAACGATAACCTTGGTTTACTCAGCGGTGTGCCTTTTGGGCAGGACTACCTGTTTGTTTGAACCATGCTACAAAATTTATGCTTTCAGTTCTGTTTCAGCTACTCCGTTCTCTTCATGTATCCTTCAGGACAAAGACTCGAAAATAGCATTCCTTCAGAAGGCCATTGATGTGGTGATGCTAGTCAGCGGAGAGCCCTTGGCTGCTAAACCTGCTCGGATCGTAGCCGGACACGAACCAGAGAAGACCAATGAGCTGCTGCAGGTCATTGCTAAGTGCTGTCTCAACAAGGTCAGTCCTGCCATTACGAAGCACTCCGGCTACTGTACTTCTGTGCTGCAGGATTCGCTCAAAGCATTTAACTAGTGAATGACTCAAGACTAATGATGTCCAGGCAGGAGGTAATTTATAGACGCGTTCGTATAATTGCACCCTTGAGCTTTTGTGAAGGTTAAGGAACGATGCCAGCAGGATTATCAGGGGAAGCCACTGATGCCTGCAGGGCACAGAGCAGGTGTGAACGCTGTGGTGAATGACAGATCTACTGCTCCACAGCACACTGGGCTGTTTTATAGGTCACAAGAGAAAAGGATGTGAAAGCAGCACAGTGGCGATAAGCTGGATGGTTAAAAACAGAGGTTACAGGGGTGACCCGGGTACTGGAAGATCAACAGTTCTTTTCTGTCACCTTTGTGTTTTTTTGCAAAACATTTGACATTATTGTGCTGTAGGAAGATTGTAGGTAACTTTGACAACTCAGACAAGGTTGTTAAGGGCAAATTGACACCAAAAAACTAGCGGTTGACGTAGGGCTGGGCGATTTAGCAAAAAAAAAATCTAGGTTTTTTCTAAAGTTTGACTGATTCACGATTTCGATTTCGATTTGTTTTTTTTATTGTGTTACTAGTCTTCTCAAAACATTACAACAACATGACTGAAGTAACATTCTCTTTATAAGTAACTTGAAAAAACATCTGGTTAAGCAACATTGTATTTTTAATGGCCATGTCATACAAAAATCGGTCAAGGTGTAAATAAATGTAAAACAAATCCACGAGTTAAATAGCGTTGCTGAAGATTTGAATAAGAAATATTTGTGTAAATATTGCAGTTGCAGGAATACTGAGGTATTTTTTGCAAGTTTTGCTGAGTCTAGGAAAGATTGGCTCTCAGCTCGGCTTTGACTTAGTCTTCTGATTAAATGACAGGTTGTAATGCTGCTGCCTTTTTCTTAAAAAGATACAGTGGAAGAAAAAGGACTGAACATGGAAACTGTAAAGCCTAATTTAACCCAATGTGTGAAGTTGTGGACGTATAGCAGGAGCAAATACAAGTACCAGATGTGTGTCTAATAAAAAATAATATATTTAATCTATTTTTCTTTTTTCCCCTTTTAAATACCGATCATTTTATACACTTTGCTCCAGACTCTGTATTATGCTGCCTGATCTGTCTGGTTTTCAACTAGGTCCGCTAAATGACGTCATGGGGGCGGGTACTTTCATTTTCACTGCTACAGTCCCTCACCTCTACTCGTGTTTAAACCAAAAGATCAGCGGGGTTTTTTACATGGCGGGCTTTTACGTCCTTCATACATGTTGAGATCGAATTTATCGACCTGATGAGGGAATGTCTTGACAATCCACACAGAAGTGCAACAAGTAAAATCCTACATGACTTCACGCTTTAACAGTCAGTTAAGCAGGTCGCACACCAGAAGCGCCGCGACACGGTGCGCACATGACAGTTTAAACTATCACACACCAAAAACGCACATTTGCATGATATTTAACATGAAACTAATGAGATGGCGCTCTGTGGGCCGACTGAAATATGAACTGCTTCGTGAATCGTGGCTGGGCGGCGCCGGTGTGTGTATAGAAACCTGTTTAGAATTCTAAAATCCATGGCGCTTCTGGTGTGCTTCTGCTTCATACAGAGAGTGAACTAAAGCGCATTGGTGCCATGATAATGTATTGAATATATATATATTTTTAAAAATCGTGATTTCTCGATTTGATTCAAAATTAAATCGTCTGAAAACATAAATTCGAATTAATCGAAAAAATCGCCCAGCCCTAGGTTGACTGTTTGCGTCTGGTCCCATCTGGACCAAAAAACATTTTTTATGTGCATTTGCTTATTTGTTTCACTTTCACCTCCGAGTGCAGCTAATGGCTGTCATCACTGTGAGGAAAAACACACAAATGCAAATCATACTTCCCGCGCGGCTCCCAAACGATCGCTCTGCAACAAACTGAACGCTATGTATAACTGTTATTCACAGCCTTTGCAGGTTCTGTTCACTAAAGTAGGCATCATTGGCGGCCACGCGCGTGTCCTCTCGATAGTAAACAAACAGCTCGTCTCCAGCTCATGTGTGATTTTGCGGCCGCGAATACATCCTTACATTAAGACAGATTTTTGGGAGAATTCTATATTTTATAAATACAGTATGTGACACTTTTGATGACGTATGGATGTGTCCATGATGCTTTGAAGACGTGTACTTTTGCCTTAAAGCTTCTCTCCTTACCTTGAAAATATAATTGGCTGAATCACAGAAAAACTGAATTGAGATTGCGTGTAGGGAAGAATCAAGGTCACGATCTTTTTTTCAATTAATCGTGCAGCCCTACTAGCCACCACCAACAACACAATGGTTATCGCATTTGAAATGTATATACAACTATTGAATAACCCAAAAAACTTCCTGACTGAATGTTAAAGGTGCTGTATGTAAGTTTTTGACTCTTCTAAAGCAGGGGTTTCCAAACTTTTGAGCCCATGACCCCTAAAATAACAAGGCCAGTGACTCGCGACCCCAATATCCTTTGAGGTTGTTATAAATACAGAAATCTTGCATGCAATGGTGCACACACACCAATAGACCCAAGTCTGTTCTTCGTTTAATTTTAATTTTTAACTTCGTTAAAAATGTATGTCAGTGCTGTAAATGTGCCAGAAAGTTTAACCTGGTTTATAAAATCAATCTTCTGCATCTCATGCTATTGCTGTGTCTTTATATAATGTAATTATCCCGGGGGTTGCAATTCAATACAACTAGTAACTATCAACAACAATTTTTTCTCTTTACTAGGTTATGAATGAAATATGGCAAATCTTATGGTTAAAAAAAAAAAAGAAAAAAGATTTTTGGAAATCACCAAGCGACCCACCCTTCATTGTCTCGCGACCCCTTGGGGGGTCCCAACCCCTACTTTGAGAACCACTGTTCTAAAGCATAAACATACCTTAATATGTTTGCAGATATTTCGGAAACATGTTAAGTGAACATTCTTGTTTATCTGGAAAAACAATGCTAAAGTCAGATATTCAGCTTTGAAAATGTGAGTTACGTGCTGGAACGCCTGTCTTTGAAACTAAAGTCTTTTGAAACTAAATCTTTTACTAGCTCTGGTTATCAACCATTATATCCTATTTGTTTAGTTAATCTGAATCCAGTCCAAGTGCATGTTAAGGATTGTTCTGGGACTTGTGTTATATTATAGGGGCTTAATAACACTTGTCGTGTTCTTTATTTCCAGCTCTCTAGTGATGAAGCTGTTAAACGTGTGTTAGCGGGAGACAAGCTGGATCAGAAGGGCAAGCCCAGCACCTCCAGATCCCAGGACAAGGAGAACAGAGAGGGCAGAGAGCACCACCGAGACCGAGAGGTAAATCCAGCTTGATGCTTTGACCTAGTAACATTTTCAGCTATATGTTTTTTTCTTTTGCCTTAAGTATCTGCTCCTTCCCCCTCTTTGGCTTAGTTTTTGTGTCTTTTTTTTGTATTCACGTCAACCAAGACTTTTAGGATTTGGTGTAGATGAAGCTGTCTGGGCTATTGTTAACTTTAAAGTGTTATGAAATGCTTCTGTTATAATAGTTTTTTACATGCCACACACACACAGCTATAAAAACCACTTATTATATCACATTAGTTTAACTTGAGGCAAAATTTTAAAATCTGTCAGAAAATCTTGTTAAATTAACGTACCACAGAAGTCCAGTGCTAATTTCAGTATCTTTGTGTTGCCTTTGAAATGCTGGGAAACTGACTACGATTGCTAAATTCATTGTTTGATTAGATTGATTAAACATCAAGAGCTCAATATCATGTTGTGATAGTAGTACACTAAGGACACCTGCTAGTTACAAGGGATAATGCTGAATTAAATTCAGCGTAAATTGCAAGCTGCAGTCCTAAAGAAATGGAATATCAAATGAAAATAGTGGGCGTGGCTTGTTTTTCTACTGCAAGCTGATTGGATGTGGTAAAGTAAGCATTTCATTCTGAAAGATGGGAAAAGGGGTTTCAAGAGAATTATTACAACCCATCAGACACCTCCTCCTCCTCACCATTTTGGTTTGTTGTCAAAACTGTTGGAGTAGGAGAGGAGTGGTTTATATGTTTATACCAAGCGGCAACCTCCCGCTCTCCCTCGGGAGGCCAATACGGAAGTAACTGAAACTGCAATTCATCAAAAATCCGCTAGTCCTGGCTCCATAATAGAGCAAATTTCAATTGAGCCCAATGTTAGAATGGCCAACTTTACAGCAGAAAAAAAAGGTGTTTACAACCTGGTACAAATAAAGATTTTGGTTCATACAGCTAACATTACCCTTCATGACAACTGTGAGGGGGGTGAATTTTTTTTACAACTCATCCGTTTCCTTTATATTAGGTAATGTTAAGTTTGCATAATTAAGGGCGTGGCCACTTGATTGACAGTTAGGTCTCGCTGGTCGCTGTCACAACACCTCAGCTGACTCCAGCAGATTAGCCACTGATTTCGGCATGTTCATCGTATTTTCGTTTTGTTTTATGTGGCTTTACACAGTCAGTTGCCTTTTGGGAATATTTCCTACAATTATCAGATGATATGGGATGCTGTGTGCACTTAATTTTGCTCACAAACCATTCATGTGGCCTCCGTTTGCCATGTGAGTAAAGTTATATACTTGTAAACCATCTCTATTAATGCATTTGTTTTATTTAAGATCATTTATCATTTTTAATGTTCTTTAGAGCTGTAAAGCACCCCAGAATCTGACAGATTAATTTGCTGTGGGCTGTAGAACAGTCATCTGAAGTGTTATTATACAGTGTTATGCCTGTTATGCCTGGATTTCATATAGCTCAGCATTTACTAACACAGACTATATCTGAAGCGGTTGGAAGTAATTCGGTTTTTCCTCCTGTAGGAAAACATTATAAGAACAATACTTAGTGGCTTAATGTATTACTACAGTATTTTTAAAAGTCTAAACACTTTATTGATATAGTGTACAGCCAAGCACATGTGGTCAGAATACAAGCGAGTCACAGGTGATAAAGTATTAAGCGTTCTCCCAAAGTAAAGATTGTCTAAGCTAGGTCCAAGCAAAATGCCAGCAGGTGTCTGTAGCTCCGCTCACTCTCCGCCTCTTTGCCCTTGTTTGGTATCCCGCCGTGAGTGCGATGACACGTGAACAAAATGCCGGCGCTTTTCCGCGCCTACTTGTGGCTTCTTTTGCGCTCCTCAGAAACTATGGGTGACGTCACAGACACTACGTCTATATATTTTACAGTCTATGGTTTATACCTGCCAACACTCCCATTTTTCCCCGGAGTCTCCCATATTTCAGACCCATCTCCCGTTTCGGTCTGACTCACGGAAAACTCCCGGAATATCACCCCGTAAAACCCCACCCCCCACTCCACCTCCAATGATTTCATTTGTGCTTTAAAAGCATATTCTAAAAATAAACAGATGGTTATCATTTGTCTGTGTGGAGATTAATATATTAACATTAAATCTATTCATATTTATGGTTATCGTACTTGGTGTAAATGGCTATATATTATTAACTGTTTGTTTATTAAAGTTTGTCTTGTCTGTTTTCCAGGAGAGGAAGGGCATCAAGGAGAGCAGTGGGAGTCGAGAACAGAAAGATCCAGATCAACCCAAAGATCAAGAGAGCAAGAGGGACGACAAGGACCGCAGACGAGATGCTGAGAGGTCTGACAAAGGCCGAGAAAGAGAGCGAACAAAAGACAGAGATCGAGACAAGGACAAGAGCCGCGATCGGGAGAAAGACAAGACTCGAGAGAAAGAGCGGGAACGAGAGAAGGATCGTAACAGAGAGAAGGAGAGAGAGCGGGATAAAGATCGAGATAAGAAGAAGGAGAGGGAATCTCACAAAGACAGAGAACGGGACAAAGATCGTGAGCGCGAGAAACGGCGGGAGAAAGAGAAGGACAAAGAAAGACCCAGAGAGACTGAGGAGAAACTAAAAGACAGAGGCGACAGAAAGGTTGGTTCGCTCTGCTTTATGACTCTGACACATACTTTAAATTATTCATTTCAAACCTCATTCTGACCCTTTCCCTGAAAT